TAATAAAAATGGTAAATATACCTTGAAAGGTTTCTATGAATAAATTATCGGGAATATCTTACTTCTTACACTTTTCGGTTTGTCATGGATTCGCAGTGCTTTTTTTCTGCAGTGTTCTTACAGTTCATGTTCTGGGAAATCTTACTGTCAAAGAACATTCTCAACCAATAAAGAGAACAATATAAGAAATCAGAAACATTTAGGAGAAGAAGAAGAAGAAGAAGAAGAAGAAGAGAAGGAAAGGAAGAAAAAATGAGAAAAAATAACTGACAATGAACGCCTTTCTACACCTTTAAAAGACTACGATAATTCAATATGGCAATACTTAGAAGGACATGTTGCGTTGGAACCGACAAGGGTGAGAGAAAGTGACCGCACAACCTCGCATCGGGTCTGCCGAGTGGGAGGCGGGAGCGGGAACGGTCGCGGGGCAGCGGCGGCGGGCGTTACCTTTTTCCGGATCTGAGAGCGACGGAGTCTTCCGACGGGGCACCGGAGCGGGGGCAGCGGCGTCGAGAAGAGCGTCGCGTCTGCGCTGCGCGGGTGGCCTGGAGCAAGGGACGGCAGGCGGGCGCGTGAATCAACTGGAGAGGCCCGTCGGGGTCCGGAGCCGCGGCTTTATAAAACCCCGCCGCGCGCCGCCGCCGCCCCCGCCGCCGCACGGCCACCCCGCGGCGCGCGCCGCCCCCCGTCGGCCCGCGTGACGTCAAGGGCGGCGGGCGGCCCAATGGCGAGCGCCCGCCGCCTCCGCCGCCGCCCGTCGCCGCGCGCGAGTAATTATCGTATATACGCGCGACGCTGCGCGCGCGCGCGCTTCCAGCGAGCGGGCGGGTATGTACGCGGCCGCACGCGCCACGCACATAGGCTTCGCCCGGTGGGCGAACGCCGCCGCCCAGCCCGCGGGGCACCCCCGCCCCCAGGGCGGGGGCGGCGGCGGCGCGCGCGGGGTTTTATAAAGCGCGGCTCCGGACCCCGACGGCCTCTCCAGTGATTCACGCGCCCGCTGCGTCCCTGCTCCAGGCCACTCCGCCGCAGCCGCAGACGCCGACGCTCTCTCGACCGCCGCTGCCCGCTCCGGTGCCCCGTCGAAGACTCCTCGCTCTCAGATCCGGAAAGGTAACGCCCGCCGCCGCTGCCCCGCGACCCGTTCCCCGCTCCCGCCTCCCACTCGGCAGACCCGATGCGAGGTCGTGCGGTCACTTTCTCTCACCCCTTGTCGGTTCCAACGCACATGTCCTTCTGAGTATTGCATATTGAATTATCGTAGTCTTTTTAAAGGTGTAGAAAGGCTTCATTGTCAGTTATTTTTTCTCATTTTTCTTCCTTTCCTTCTTCTTCTTCTTCTTCTTCTTCTTCTTCTTCTTCTTCTTCTCCTCCTAATGTTTCTGATTCTTATATTGTTCTTCTTTATTGGTTGAGAATGTTCTTTGACAGTAGGATTTCCAGAACATGAACTGTAAGAACACTGAGAAAAAAGCACTGCGAGTCCATGACAACGAAAAGTGTAAGAAGTAAGATATTTCCCGATAATTTATTCATAGAACCTTTCAAGGTATATTTACCATTTACATATACTTTCTTCTGAACTTTTATTTATTTCTTCCTCTTTTTATTTGTTTAAGAGCGCGTCGTTTTCTAAAGCTACTTCAAGAACGCGAACTAAAATGATAAATTCAAAATTATAGCAGTTTTACCCCTACATCGTGTCTTGTGCACCTCATATTAATGTAAAAATAAGCTTTGGGTATATTCTAAAGTTTCACAGATGTAGTATATTATCTAATTTCGTGTTTACAGCGGAAAATGCACACGAATATGAATATACCACATGGTTCAGATGGAGCAGAATACAAGTAAAATATTTAATTAAATAATTATATTTTATGAACGCCTATCGTGCTCCTGTTGGTAATATTTTACAGTTCTCTTCCAGTTATGTCGTCGGGTCTAACATCACCTGAATATGCGTCTTTGTTGTTGTTCTTCAGGTTCTTCACTTCACCACTAATGGCGTAGTTGTAATTTCATCTCCTGAGTTTTCAGGTTTTCTATTTTATTAACAAATATTTCTTTTATATGATCATCTAATTCTGCCGTGAAGATGCATTCTTTATCTTTCACGACGAAGCTCATCGCTTCTCACCGCCTACTCACCGCTCAATCATTTTGTTGTATTGGTAGACATTTCATGGTATCTATTCGTTTCACTTCCGACTCGGAATATCTAGTACTTTAACTCGTATGCGTTTTCAATCCTTGCCTTGAATAAAAATTCTCTCATATGGGAAATTTTATTAAATATATTTTTAAAAGGAAGATTTGTTTAAATAATATTAATTAAAAATATAGTTGTGATATTTTTCCTTGCTGTTGGGAACCTTTTTTATATCATGAGTGGGCCTGTCCTTACCTTAATTATGTAATTCAATTTTAATCTTGTATGTATATGTTTATATTTTCATTTATGCAATATTATCAATTTATAAATTAAGTATTCAGCTGAATTACTTTTATTTATTAAAGTGTCTTTTTTAAATTATTTCTGTTCCACTATTCTTTCATTTATTTTACATATCTTAATGTTTATTCGCAATACATAATAGCGCTATGCAGGAGTACAATTATCTTTGTCACGCGGTTCCATGTTCTCGCCATTTTAAATCTCTTTCAAAACGCAACATCCGAACCGGAGCAGATCGAAGAAATCGCTGCAAAGAAACACTAATTGCGTTGGAAAGAAAACGTTTTTTCAGCTTTGATTTGTTGGTCGTGTTATCGACAGTTTATTTTTATTGACCACCTTTGCTCGCTATCGACAGTTTATTTTTATTGACCGCTTTTGCTCGCTATCAAAGAACAGTTTTAGAAGGCTTTTGCTGAAATGATTTTCGAGAACATATTTTCGAGTTGAATTGACTTACGATGGGGTTAAAAAATTATTTGTTGAACAAAAAACGATATCGAGACAAAAGAGTTCAGTCTTATTAACGAAAATTGTCACTTGCAAGACATAAATTGGAACCTTCAAACTATAAACTATTGCTGAAACGAGAAGTGGAAAGTGAGATAATGTACTTTTTGACCCACGAAGAAACAAATCGCACTTTGAACACACACAATGTGGAATACAAATACGTTATTGCAAATTTTTCGTGCATATTTATTTATATGATTTTATTAATCTCATTTATACAATCAGCAATATTGTATTTTATTATTGATTTGATTAGTGTGTACAAGGTGTTCAGATGTACCTACATTAATCATTATAAATATTGCCTCCCTCGAATACATTTTTAGAAATAAATCATCTTTACTTTGTATAAAACTAAGAATGATCTGAACAAATATTTCAAAGGGTTTCATGATTTAAAAAGCAATTATTTTTGATGAAATAAAAATAATCGTTTCGGAAAATATTTTTCCCGTAGCTTGCATCTTTTTCCTTCAAAGAACTTATCTTAAGTTCCAGTAAATTTATAAAAAAACAGTTGAATATTTTTTTGTATGAGACTTTCATAAAAAATTATCATCTGGGCCAACCCAACGTTAATGCGCTCACTTAAAATATATCAACATAAATACTTCTCTTCTTGTATTCTCTGTATGTCTCACAAAACGTGCAAATACTGTGTCACCCTACAACCCTGCGTAGTAATTTTCAAGTAGTATTTACAGATTAGGCTTACAACAAACTGCTGATGGGTAGAAAAGGAGATTTGGCAAGGCAGAACAACAATGCGGAGATCACAAGGGCATTAAAGCTAAATCTATTCTCTGATTTAAACACCAACTTCTGACTTGAGATAACCTAGGTCGCGGTTACCCAGTCGGGAGCTTCGTTGTGATATAATTTTTGATATTGAAGCTACCGCTTGGAATACCGATTTCCGCTGTCGTGCGTCAAAGTTCACTCTATTTAAATTGAAGTATAGTAGCCTCGCGGATGCAAACTTCGAGAGCCACGGCGGCCCGCACGGCGTAGACACTTGCGACGGGGCGCAGACTTGTTGCTCCTCTGTCGACCTCTCTCACCTGTTGGCTCTCGCTATTTTCGCTTCCAGATTTTCGGCTGCATTGGGTCTCCACTGTAATGGCGACTTCGCCTTGAAAGTCATCTGATAGCTTCCCTTTAGACCGCGTACAAATTGATATGATATTTCGTTTAACCACTTCGGTTATCAAAAGTTACGTAAAAGAGATCAGTTTCGTAATAAGTGATATTAAATAGTTCTGATAATATATGGCTCACTATTACCCAATTTTCAGTTTGTAAATGAGAAAGGAAAATTGTTAACATAAGTATTCTCATACTCCATTGCCAACAGAAGTTGTAATCAGTGTCGCGTGTAAATAGTATTTTTTTAAACACCAATAACATTGTAATCTTTACTTTCTGGACTTCTGTCAGCTATCGGTTTTCCAGGCTTGGGACATTTTTTTATTTATTGTCCACGCCTGGGAGGGAGGAAGGGAGGGATTGGGATAAGGAAGACATGTGACGAATACAACGAATTCCCTTCACCATATCTAGCATACTTGGTCTGCATGAGCTTTTCTTTCGCTATATAAACTGAAACTTTTGTAATGGAAAGCCACAACTCTATTAGTGCCCCGATCGCCAGTCGAACCTGGGATCGCAGTGCAAAAAGCTATCACCCTGACGGACCACAAGCCCACCCGAGGGTCAGAAAAAGAATAATAAATTTTCAAAAGAAGCGGATTGGCCATAGGATCTCCCCATTAATCCTCTGCGCCGCTGTTCCCGTAACTTCTGTGCCGGTAATGCGGTCAATATCTGCCTTTACTTGTTCCCTGCAAGCAATTTGTTGAGATATAGGCATGATGTTGATATAAATGTGATTGTCAATAATAAAATTTGCGCTGTTCAATAGCTAACAATAAAGAGATGAATCTTGTAGGCACAAGAATCCAGTAGCATCCCCGTAGAAATCTGGACTACACCTGGCCCTAAGAGATACAATGAGCTCTCAAGCAGAACGTAATTGGATCTCTCAGAAATCAATGAAAATCACTGAAATTTTGAAAAAAAGTCAAGTTTTAATATTGTTTTAATTTGGTTAGAAAATAGTTCAAATACGATTATTTTTTGGGTACTTTATTAGTGTTACTTTGTAATTTGCTACAAGAGAATTTAAAGACATCCCTTGTACTGTAACATAAGAAAATGAAAAAAATGTATTTCAAGTATAAAGTATTTGAGTCACTTATCATCTTACGACACACGTTTCTGACATAAACCAGCTGTCTTACGGAATGCCTCTCTACCTTGTTTGCAATCATCTTGTTCAACGTGTTACTTGAAATAAACACGCAAAACGCTCTTACATGACATCCATTTACATGAAGCTTTACAATCATTATTCATGTAGATCTGGTCCTTTCTACTATGTATTGTGTTCAAGTTCTATAAAGGTCTTTTAAGACCATAACGAACGCGGGAGCTGTCATGTCAATTTTCCCTATCTGATGATATGACATTTTGATTTCGAATCTAACGGCAGATCTGTCAGTCAATTATTCCGTGATTTCAATGACATTCTTCCAATGTAGCTATTTCTGGATGATTCATGACAACCTGAATTATGGAACTTGTGTGGCTAGTTTAAACGCTTCATCAGATCAATTGTTTTTATTTGGAATAATTGTTTTCTCTTTGTTTTTCTGGCATGTTAAAAAACAAACATTCAAAAATGAGATTTTGAATACGTTGAAATATTATAAAGTATATTTCAACCTATTAATTTACTTTAGTATCAGCGTATTTTCTTTTCCGTCAATTTTTTTATCCGAAAGTGAATTAAGACTTGTAAAATTATTCCTAGCTCATTTTATATTTTAATAATTTTATATACCCCAGTTGCTAATGCTCCTCAACAAATATTTTTTATTATTTTTAATAAAAATTATATTCTAAACACATCAGATATCGAGGTTTTGCGAATCTTTCAAATTAAAAAATATCTTTAATTAAAACGTTCAGATTTTAGGCTACTTTTTTAACATTGGTTCGCCTTTATTCTGACTTTCACAGCAGAGCGAATCAAGAAGGAAATAACATCACAATCTGACTTCCAGTCGTCTTCGGCAGGGCC